GTTGGCAGTTTGTGCAGCCTTCTGGTCACTCGACGCTTGGCTTTGTCTACCGGAGGATGCAGTATGAACTGCCGGCTAAAATAGCTCGCGCATCGCTCCGGGTCCGACGAAGCATGGTCGCCGAAGGAAATTTCGACTCTGTCGTCGTGCTTCGTCGGATTAGGCAATGACCTCACGGTTGACCAAAGCTTGCTCACACCAGAGGTGAAATTACAAGTCTTCAGGTGCTCCTCCCACTTCTTCCGCTTATGTACGTTTACAAGTTGCCGAATCTCCGCGTTGAGATCCCTGATACGGGGATCTCCGGGATCGGCCTGACGAAGGCTATCACGCTCATCAGTTAGAACAGCCGCTTCGGCAGGGAAGTTTGGACGTGGGTCCGATATACGTCCTGCCGGTATGAAGCGAGCTGCAGCAGCAGTGATAGCCCTGCGGAACTTACGTTCACCGAGATGGACGTCGGTTGGTGTGGGGAGCGCTGCGAAGGTGTTTTCGGTAAACTCCGCGTAACCTTTCCAATCAGCTTTGGAAAAGTTGATATAGGTCCGGTGTTTGGCGGAGGCAAAGTCGGTTGGTTTATCAATCGAGATGACTATGGGTAGATGGTCTGATGCTAGAGTCAGCATAGGTCGCCACGTTATGCTGTTTATCAGACCAGCGCTGACGATTGTGATGTCTGGCGAGCTACTGCAGTTACCCATAATCCTGGTGGGTGCGTCGTCGTTCATTGTGCAGAATGTCGAATCGTCTATCTGCTCAGCCAAGTCTGTTCCCCTACGATCGTTTGACAGGCTTGAGTGCCAAAGATCGTGGTGCGCATTAAAGTCACCTACTACCATACGGTTTTCACCTCTGAGGAGCGCACCTATATCAGGGTGATATCCTGCCGGGCAGCAGGTGACAGGGGGTATGTATATGTTAAATATTTCGAGCTCGACTTCGCCTGACCGGATAGCGATGCCCTGACATTCTAGGGTGGTATCCCTGCGGTCGATGTCTGTTTAGATAAGACGATACTGCACGGTGTGGTGCGTGATGAACGCTAAGCCACCATCATTATCTCGCTCGCGATCTCGACAGTGCACGTTGTACCCGGCGCAATTCAACAAAGTTGAATTGCTGTGCAACTTCGTCTCTTGGACCGCAGCTATTAATATACCATGCCGACACATGAAGACGGTTATCTCCTCAATCTTGCTCTGTAGCCCGTTACAGTTGAATTGGAGGAGCTTCATGTGGTTCGGGAGACGTGTCGTGATGTGGGGTGTGAGTGAGGTGTATGTTCTTGCCGCCGTTGGCTGTGTGTGCTGCTGAGGTGATTGCCGCCCTATGGTGGTGGTGGGGGGCGTCGCAATTGACGTCTGCGCAGCACGGGCCCTCGAAGTTCCCCGTCCAATCTCGCGTAGTACGCAGACCTGAACATGCCCTAAAGTGGCACCAGCCAAGGCAGGTGTTGCACTTGACTGATGTCACATTACGGAATATTCTGGTCTGACATACCGTGCAGATTGTAGGGGGAACCAGGAGTTGTTGGCGGCGGCGTGTGGGTGGTGGTGCGGTTGTGTGTGTTATGTGGTCTGTGGTGGCTGTGGTACGGTCTGTGGTGTTATTATGTTGTTGTGTTGTGGCGACTGTGTGTGGTTGCTGTGTGAGTGTGTGGGGCTGCACGGGCGGACTATGGTTTGCCGTGGAGGCAGCTCTGTTTGAGCAACAGGGGGCCACGTACGACGGGTTCCACTGTCTGTGTGTCCGTAGTCCCGAGCAGACCCTGAGGTGACTCCACCCCTCGCAGGCATTACACTTGACTGAGGTGGAGTTGTGGTGTAATCGTCTTCGGCATACACAACAGGTGTATATTTCTGGCCCAGGGTTTGACTCGATGCCAGCCCTGAGTAGGAGAATGCGTAGTGAATGTTGCCCTATGGACGGACAACTTCTGAGATACTTCGCCGACCTAAACGGGGTTAGATCGCCGAAACAACAGCCCTTGGTCGGGTGAAACCCGAGTCATTCCGGTACGTAGAACCGGCTGTCGTGGGACCTTGTCGTCGATAATGCTGTCACCATACTAATTCAAATAAGTACTTACTCAATTTAAATTGGACTCTTATCTGAATTAAGTTGCGTTCCCTAACTCGCAAGTTGCAAGAATTTTAATAAGCTGCTCTAGTGTTTCATGAGGATTTTTCTGGCTCTAACTTAGGGCCGGGTACTCAATGTCTGGTTAACACTAATCTCCGGTTAAACATCGTTATCGACTCCATGTTATATACATGGAGCCGAACACGTCGATAATGATGATTAAACGGAGATTAGTGTTAAGCAGACATTGAGTAACCGCCCTTACTCTACTTTTTGTTTCATGAGCCTGCGCTAAGAGCAACTTAGGGCCGGTTGTTCAATGTCTGGTTATCACTACCACTACACTATCGACGATTTCGACATCATGCATATAACATGTGATCGATAAAGCAGTCGGTGTACTTAACCGGAGCTTCTACCTCCGATTTGTGTTAATCAGACATTGAACAACCGGCCCTTAGAAAACGTTTTTTTGCACCAGCTCTTTTGATGGAGTAACTTAGAGCAAGCAACTGTTTTGCGAATTTCTGCCTGAAAAGTGTTTCATGAGATTTCTGATCTGAATTACTCTATTGTTTTTTTTTTTACAGCTGCTCGATTCTGCTCTAACTTGACCTGCTCTGCACCTTTTTCGGTCTCAATGGGCCTCCGCACACTGGAATGCTCAGACCGCCTAAAACAGATTTTGTGTGGATAAGAGGGAGAGTTCGAGTTTACCTCGCTCATTTCAGTCCGCGAAAATTTCGTTTTGTTTGCATGTGCCACATGCAAGATCACAAGATCACGCCTTCCCGAAAGAAAGAAAAAAGTTATTTTCTAGCTGTTGAAATCTCGACACCATCTTTGTTGTAAGAAGTAAACAACGAAGAGAACAAAAAAAACGCGTAATTGTTGGATGCATGAATAATCATTTTTATTATGCAAATTCTTCTATAAATCATGTCGTTGTGTTAAATTATTCTTTACCGTATGTGTGCACACGTTGTCACAAGCGAAAATTAAGAAAATTGCAGTAAAAAGCTACCACCAAATTGTAAACAACGAACAAATGTAAACAAACGGCTAATGTCAAAGTCGCCCAACTGTTTTTCTAAATGCGATTATAACGGGCTACTAAGAAGAAAGCGTGATCTTGTATTTTTGGTTCATGGTTCATGTACATGATTCAATAATAGTAAGGTTTTGTAATAAAACAGTCTTCTCGCTTCCACACATAAAATCGGCTCCTTTACTTGTGCAGAATGTTGCTTAATCTACAGTTTCTAATGATATTAGTAGTAAAACCAAAAATTCTTCATACTAAATATTCGTGAGCATCACCTTCGTTTGCGTAATTTTCTAGAACAAGTGTAGCATAGCGACCGTTTAGCTATAAAATAACCAAAAATACCGATTGATAGAACTTTTTACGCCGATTTGAACGATACCAAATTTATTCGGCGCAGATAATAAATAAAGAAAATATAAGAGGTTTATTTGCTTTATTTATTTGTATTTTTTATTATCACTAAATTGTTGAAATCCAAAAGTAGATAGTGACAAAATATGTAATATCAAATTAAAGGTAATAACTTGTAGTTTCTAAATAATATTAATTTCTTTACCATTAATTATGCAGTTTTTTCAAAAAAGGTTATTTCATGAAAAAATAACATTTGTTCGTTTTTTAGTGGTTTTGGTTTAAAAATACAAGAAGCTTTAAATTATGTACACCAGCTGAAAGACAAATTAATTATCTTTATGGTGGCGTCATTAGTTTTTTTATCGGTTATACCTACAGTTCGTAAGATACAAATATTTAAAAAATTTAAAAACTGAACTGTAACCTTCCAGAACGTCTAGATTTTTTTACTTGCACCAAATGATTTTGGCATGGTTGAAATGAGCATAAAAAGTTCTATTGATCTGCAGTTTTCGTTTTTGCATAGATGAACGGTCGGTTCCAGGAAATGATGAATAACTTAAATCAAAAATGCACATATTTACGTATTGTTTAGTATTTCCATTATAACACCAAATATATTGCAAATTCGCATAGAATTAATAATACACCTTTACTTTTAATTGTATAGTTTGCGTACTTTTTGTAGTACCTTTCTACTACCGTTTTCGCAAAAGGCCATCACATTCTTCCCCTTTCTCCTACTTCCAAAATACAAATCTAGATAAAGGAGTGTCAAATTTTAGCTGTCACAAATTACACAACCTTGTATTATTGAATCATGGTTCATGTATATAAAACTGAAACTTGTTTTCGGCCGACTGCCCAGCCCAGCGTGCGTTTGAGTGGAGGACTGCTCAGTCCGACTGAGCAGGCTAATGTGCTCAGGCCCAATAAACACAACCAATGTGTTTTTATTCCGCAATCAAGGGGATACAGCCAATCCAGGATTCAATAATACAAGGTTAGATAATTATCCCTTGCAATCCCTTGTTTCGAAAATGGTAGTAGACAAGTACGCAAAGTAGGCAATTAGTAGTGAAATTCCTTTTGTAAATTCTAATGTATTTGCAGGAAATCTGGCATTTTAAACGTAATATTGATATATCTACGTGAATTACGTAATTTATATGCTGTTTAGGGCCGGTTACTCAATGTCTGGTTAACACTAATCTCCGGTTATACATAGTTATCGACGTTACCGACTCCCTGTTATATACATGGAATCGAAGACGTCGATAACCATGTTTAACCGCAGATTAATGTTAACCAGACATTGAGCAACCGGCCCTTAGCCGTATAAAAACTGCAAAATGACTCAAAATTAAAATAAGACTACTATGAGATTGATGTAAACCACCAATGCTTAGGTTTTCATCAGTTAAATATACTTCATATGCATATACAAATAAACATATTTCACAGAAGATTATACTTTTATTTCACAAAGAAGCAACACGGTGCCACTGCTAAGGGAGCGGTGCGAGAGAGACAACTGTCAGTAATTTGTGAATTGTGCGGCTTGGCGTTCAGTCATTTTAATATACCTATGTACATTTATTTCAGCGGTGGAAAATATATTTAAAGTATATATAAAAGCTTTGTGTGCCTTCGTTTCAAATAGAAGTAAGTAAAAATTGCGATAAAAGTTGTTTTAAAACCGTGTATATTTAATGCATCTTTTATTGTGCAGTTGCAATTAAAAATTTGTGAATTCTGCGGCTCGGCTTTCGGCCATTTTTATTAAAATTGCATTTTGCATTCAGCGTGGAAAATCAGCTTTGTGTGCTTTCGTTCCAAATAGAAGTAAGTAAAAATTGCGATAAAAGTTGTTTTAAAACCGTGTATATTTAATGTATCTTTTATTGTGCAGTTGCAATTAAAAATTTGTGAATTCTGCGGCTCGGCTTTCGGCCATTTTTATTAAAATTGCATTTTGCATTCAGCGTGGAAAATCAGCTTTGTGTGCCTTTGTTCCAAACTTACAAGTAAGTAAAAATAGCGATAAAAATTGTTATAAAACTATGTATATTTATTGTGCAGGTCCAGTCCAGTTTTTGTGTGCAGCATTTTCGTTCGGTGGTGGAAAATCGTTTTGCGAAGCTTAATATTTGCAAGTAAGTACTGTATTTTACAAATAAAAATGAAGAGGCGTACTTTTTATAATAATTTGTGTGCTGAAAAGAAAAGTTGTGAGAGAAGTGCAGAAAAATATAAAAGGCTGCCCCAATTTGCCGATTCGGATTGGGGCTAGTGCAGTGCCACTGCGAATGCGCAAAATACTAGCGCGGATATTTCATTTTCTGACTCCGATTGCCGGTCGGAAAATGAAATAGAAATTATACCAACAGAAGAAAAGTGTAAGGAAATAAAATTGTGGGCAATTGAAAATAATATTTTACAGGCGGCACTGACCAAATTGCTTTGTGTACTTAAAAAAATTGGTGTTAATGATCTTCCCTTGTGTGCGAAAACTCTTCTCCAAACTAATAAAAATAAAGCACATATTCAGTCAATTGCTGGAGGAGAGTTTATGTATATTGGCATACAAAAGAACTTTGCGTCCGATTCGTTTACGTTTTTAAATGAAAAAACTGAAGTTTTAATAGACTTCGGAATAGATGGTTTAAAATTGTTTAAGAGTTCCAACAAAGTTTTGTGGCCAATTTTGTGTTCAATTGTTGGACTTCCAAACGAAAATCCTTTCACTATTGCCTGCTTCTCAGGAAAACAAAAGCCAGATAACGTAAATCATTTTATGAAAGAATTTTGTGAAGAAGTAGCTTATTTGAGAGAAAATGGCTTGAAAGTTGGTATGTTTAACACCACATTAGAAAAATTTAGTATCCGTATTTTTACATGCGATTCGCCGGCGCGTGCTTTTATAACTAGTGTTCAAGGTCACAATGGGAAAAATGGCTGCCCTAAATGCAGTCAAATCGGCAGCTATGTAAATAAGAGTGTGTTTTTCTAGACACACAAGTGACCTAAGAACAGACATGTCTTTTAAAAATAGAGTAGATAAATCTCACCGTAATTTTAAATTTTTACAACAACAAAATATACTTGAAGCAACAAATTTTGGAATGGCTTCTCAATTCCCCTTGGATCCTATGCACCTTGTCGACTTAGGTGTGGCTAAAAAACTGTTACATTTGTTACTCAAAAAAGGAAATATTACCCAAATGAATGAAAAATTTAATTTCGTTTCTCATTGGGTACCATCTGAGTTCGGAAGGGTGCGTAGAAATTTAGATGATATCGGGAATTGGAAGTCCACAGAGTATAGGCAATTTTTGTTGTATTCGGGAATATTCGTATTAAAAAATAGCATTGATGACGATTTATTTTATCATTTTATTTTATTGCATGCCAGTATACGCATTCTCTCTTGTGAAAAGTCCTACAAAACAGAAACCAATGTAGTAAAAGGATTATTACAAGATTTTGTTAGTTCGTTTGGAAATATATATGGCGATCATTTGATAAGTTTTAATATTCATGGCCTTCTTCATTTACCTGATTGTGCTAAAGAATTCGGACCATTAGATTCTTTCTCCGCCTATAAATTTGAAAACTTTATGCAACGTATGAAAAAAATTATAAAAAGTCCCACTAATATATTACAGAAAAGAAAGAAAAATTTTAGAACAAAAGCAATTAAAAATTGGACAATCCTAAGAAAGAGAAAGACTCGTTTTGTTTTAGCGAAACCCTGTATTTATTTCAATATATAGTCCGAAAAAAGTCAGCTAAATATATTGCTCTCAACACATGATTTGGTAACTATAACCAAACAATGTAGCTATAACCAAATCATGTGTTGAGAAAAACATATTTAGTTGTGTACATATGTATGTTATTTATACAATTTAGATGATCCAAAAACCTGACATGTTGGCACATCATAAAGCCGTTAGGGAGACGAAAGTGCTCACCAAAAAGGTGCATCAGATAATATGCAAAATAAGTGGAGAGACTGGAGAGGATCTCCATAATGAGCTCAACGACATCCTGCCTATGATGTCCATTGACGCCGTTTTTGACATGGAGGAGAAGCTCCATGATACAACCTACCAGGACGCGGTTGTAAGTATTGCTTTTGCTGTATATTATATTACCTGTTTATAGAACAACAGTTTTTTTCTTACAGTCTTCGTACTTGTACATAATGAAAGGAGCCACCGGGGACATTGATTCAGTTATTTAACGAATTTTTAGCGACGAGGTCCTCGGCTTGTTCAACTGGGACGGACGTTGCAACAAAAAGGCCCTGTCCAAGCTAAAGCTAGTTGGCCCTGTTCTTTTTGGTAATTTCTGTAATTTTTCGAATTTATTAAACAGTTTTACATTGAATTTGTATTCCTTTTTCGGCAGACATTTTTAAACTCCAAGGAAGAAAGAATAACTTTTGAAAAGGAAGTAAGAAAATTAGTGGAATTAAGTCATAATCGCATTAAGCAGAAAAAGTACTTGTCCAAACAAAACATTAGTTTGTGAATTGATCAATGATAACATTTCGATCTATACTTATACTTATAACTTATACTTATACTTAACTATACTTATACATATACTAATATTTATAATAACATAAATATTTGTATTCTATGTATTTATGTACAGTGGCTCAAAGCCAAAATGGAAAACACCAAACATTTTTTCTTTTATAATATTTACAAAGATTTTCATGTTAAATAATTTCTGTATTTTTTTTTAATATAGTACAATATACAAAAACCATGAAAGCTAAAATTCCAAAGTTTGTACAAAAACTAGGAAAATTCGACAAAATTTTCATGAAAACTTCTAACTTTTTGATCAGTTCTTTCAGAAATATTTCTGGTTTGCAGTTTTGTGCCCATTATACGTTAGTATAATGTGTAAGTATTTCTAAAAAATCTTTTTTATAAACAAGATAGAACTTTTCATTAAAACTGTCGAATTTTCCAAAAAAAAAATTTTTAATATTTACAAAGTTTTCATGTTAGATCATAGAACAACAAAAACATAAAAGCTAAAGTGTACAAAAGCTAGGAAAATTCGACGAAATTTTCATGAAAATTTCTAACTTTTTGATCAGTTCTTTCAGAAATATTTCTGGTATGCAGTTTTGCTCTCGTTATACTTTAGTATAATGTGTAAGTATTTCTAAAAAATCTTTTTTATAAACAAGTTGGAAGTTTTCTTAAAATTTTGTCGAATTTTCCTAGTTTTTTTTTCAAACTTTGGAATTGGGTTTGGTGTTCTATGAGCTTTATTTTTATTAAAAATTACAATAATTATTTAACATGAAAAAAGTTGTAAATATTAACAAAAAATTGTTTGGGGGTTTCCATTTTGGATTTGAGTCACTGTATGTACATATTAAAATATACATAAATATGCATATATACACTTGTGATCAGCTAATTAAGCCAGCAATATTTTGATAAATTTTGACTATTTTTCTTTTGTTTATTTAATGTTTATTATTTTTCCATAAAAGTCTAGCTTATTATATAACAAACACCATATAAATCCACATTTCAAACTTTGCGCAAAAATTATGAAACATCTGCAAAGTTTCAGCTAAATATTCAGAGGACCTTTTTTACTCTCTTTTTTGTCCTCTCAATAGTCAGAGAACCGAGTACGGGATCGATTTCCAGTAAAATCTGACTGATTCTGACTAGTCCGGACTCGTACGGGATCGCAACTATCAGCCTCATTCTGTTGCCCTCACAAAAATCACCACACTCACTATTGTGAGGTTTCTGACTATTGTGAGGTTATCCCTATGCTGGCGTAAATTCGAAAGCTCAAACGCTCACAATCGTCAGAAAATTTATGATGTACGAATGAGACCCTCACAAGAGAAAAACAGCCGATTATTATTGAGCAATTGAATGTTTTGTTAATTTTCGAT